TAGCCTTGTTTTTACCCATCTGGGAATCTGTTATAATGCTTCTTTGTGGCTGTTCTTTTTGTGCTTTTCAGCAAGGCGCAGCCTCTTTCTGTAGGGATGATTCCTTGCCTTGCTTTTAAAGTGATTTAAAATTAGGGCCTGATTCCATAGTTGCAGCCTCGTCTCACTTTTCCTGCATGAGAGCCACTAGCCCTGTTGTGTTTTGCTGGCAAGAAGATGGGTGATCCTCTGGGATTGTCTGAATTACGGGAGCTGTTGTGAGCTGAAACACTGGGTCTGATGTTAGGAAGAAATCTGGGTGGGGAGGAAGGGATGGGTAAATCCTTCTTACCTAGGGTGGGGAGCGGTTGCAGAGCTCATCAGTGACTGCTGCTCTGCCTTTACAGATCTAATCCTTTTCCCTTCACAGGGGAGCAAAGAGCAGGAGGTGTCTCTGTGCTAATAGCGCGTTTGGGCTTGCTGCTGCCCCATCTACCTCTTCTTGCTCCCTCATCGCCCAGTGAGGTGGTAGGGCCAGCGCCGTGTCCCTGAGGCACAGCCGGTGGAGACACTCACCCTTGTTTCCTCCACTGTCAGTCGAACAAAAGGAACCATTTGTGTTCCTGCTGCCATTGGTTGTGCCGATTCTTTGTCATGGATTAGCTGTGGATGCAAGGAATTCTCTTTCTCCTGAATAATGAATGCCTGTAAAATGCAGCAAGAGAAGAATGATACCTACAGAGGGGGTTTTATGATAGTGTAGGGCAGTGCAAGCGGATGGCCAAAAGGGATCATTCATTTCATGTTAACTTTTGGCACTCTGCTAGCTGTTAGTAGTGGGCTGTGAAAACTTTCCAGTTGTAGTATAGACAGTGCTAAATTATTTAAACTGTAGCTTTCAGGAAAAAAGCCTTTAAAAGCCATTGCTTTTTTGAGATGAGCTCTCATTTTGACATTTTTGGACTCCACCTTTACTTTGCGATAAAGCATGTTACGTGGAATGCTGTGCTACTCTGTGTGCTGAGACACTGAACTGCTTCAGGCAGAAACTACAAGTGTGTTTGGAGAAGATAATTTTAATTAGCACAATTAAAAACCCAGCCATTATTGGCCTAAGTTATCCAAATGTTGTTACCCTCTAGTCCAGAGAAAAATTATTTTCCCACTGTTAAGAAACATGATGGAATCAGTCAGCAATGTGTGTTCCAGCAATAAATATTTGCATATAGGCTAGTACAGCAGAGGCTTTTTATTTTATTTTTTTTCCCAGCAGCTAGCTGTGCCTCAGCAGTGACTTGAAGGCTTGCCAGGTTGTGAAAGTCAAGGCCAAGCCCTTCTCAAAAAACAAGCTAGTGAGGACCTTTGGACGCCACTGTGCAAAGGATACTGTTTTAACTGAACAGATGTTCTCAGTCCAAGGCTGATACTCTTGAAAGAGGTGCCAGGTGACAAAAATAGTTGTATTTTCTGGGGCAGATGGAAAAGAATGCTGTGTGTTTCAAGCTGGTATTTTATTGTAGTTGTGGAGGATCGAAGTTGAGGACTTGGAGTTGTGGATGGCTTTCTGTATATGAATCCTAAAAGTGTATCTTGCTCTCACTTAGGAGACAAAATACTTGAACGTAAGTGGACCACCTGTGTGTTATCACACTATTCAAAGCAGCTAGAAAGCTGTTTGGAGTAGTCAACACCATGTGCTCACAAATGAGTGAAATGTCTTGTTATTCTGGGAAGTGCTAAGAAGTATTTTTAGCATATTCTTTTTTTTTTTAAATTGGCTGAAACAAATATTTTTTGTTGTTGTTTTCATCTGTTCAGAGTGACAAATTGAAACGCACAGTTATAATACAAAATAGTATTTTATTTGTTGTTACGTATGTATATACAGCATATATATACATTCCATAAGATTAGACATATTTCAAAGCCAAAAGCATCTCAGTCTGCTAAGGAGGCCTTATATATTAGATCTTTTTTTAAAGAAACACACTATCAGTAGCATCTGATTGACAAACTATTACTGTGTTCTTGACTTTGCAAAACTCATTGCCTTGCTTTTCAGCAGCCTTAGTATTTAAGTATTAAGTATCTTGTGTAGTCACTTACTGTACCAAAGTTGAAGGGTTTCTTTCTAATTTTAGCGCAAACTATTAAGTTTGCAAAGGTATTAGATAGAAGTAATGGGCTTGCCTTGAAGAATTTTGCTAGAGAAACCACTGGTGGTTTCCAAAATGTTTTCAGTTAAGATGGGTTCATACTTAAATAGTTGTCTTTAATCTCTTCATTTTTATAGTTCAGTCTTAAAGACAAATTTCACTATGCTCAATAAATGGGTTGATTTGGCTTTATAAAGCCATGTATTTCCTGTTTATCATGTCAAACCCTTGTGGGTTGTTTCTTTTGGGTAGAGATGGAATTTCTGGCTCTGAAAAGTAAGGATCTAATCCCAACTGCATTAAGGACTCTTTTTTTTCTCTTTTTTTGACTGTAGCGTAATGGTATTGAGTAGATATAGACAAGCATTCATCAGCACTGTAGTGGGAAAAGCAAAGGAAAAAATTTCATGACGTAAAGTACAGTGATAGTTCCTGATGTTGTCACTTTATACTGCATGACATGGCATGGGTGACTAAGAGAGACTTTCACTGAAATAGTTTTGTGCTAATGCCTGTTAATTCAACCAGTCACGTGGATAACTGTAATACAGAACAATATGTGGCAATCCTGAGGTATTCCATAAGCACCAAAGATGACTTGGAAGTTATCTGGTCCAGAGTGAGCGACCCAGGCAAAATTAATTTTAGATTCATTGATTCTTAAAGACTGCACGTGTATTACTTACAGGAAGAATCATGACCTGGTATCTTTCCTAAGTTTTATTAGACTGCTTCCCGAACCAAAAAAAGCCAAGGTGATATCACCAATTTAGGATTTTTTTTAATGCTAATATTGATGATTGTGCATGAAAAATGAAGCAAGACAACTGTTAAATCGATCACAAATGTTAACAAATGGGTGGTAGACCTTAATGCAAGCAGCACTTAGCTTTGCCATTTCTTGCCTCCCAGTAGAGTGCAGCGCTATCTTTAACATAACTTCCTTGAACAAGCATAGGTTTAATGGACTGACTTACTAGAAATTGCAGATGTGACGAATTTTGTTCCCACGAAACTTTCAAACCTAGAGTATGCTTCAGTAAGCAGTTGTATAAGGCACTTTTTTGCAACAATTGAGACAATTTTCAAATGTTTTCGGTGTTTTTTATTGCTTGTGGGATGTGATCATGAATGAGCATGGGATAAGAAATATTAACCATAGTCATAAATCAGTGAACCATTTTAAGAGAAAATTTGATTTTAATATTATTTCATATTTTAAAAAGCACTGTTTGTCTAGTCAATATGGCCTTTTCCATAAAGATACAATACTTCATATTGTCCAGCAAGCAACACAGGCAACATTTTCAGGGTGTCTTTGGCCAGAAATTGGCATGAAGTGTTTAATGTGTAGAATTGTTGATTTTTTTTTTTAAATCATTCATAACTAATTATACTATTGAAGTTATCCAGTTTATTAAGCAAAGGAAATATTCCCTGAAGCAGATGAATTGGACTTGGGGGGTGTGGTGTGTGTGACAGTCTTGAAAAATTCTGGAACTAGTAAGTGTTGTCATCTTATATCTGGTTTTAAGTTATAGATTAGAAGAGGAAAAATGTGTTTCTGTCCATTTTATCAATTGAGCAAGCTAGACATTGAACTGAACTAGACTGAATGGGAAAAAATACTTTTTCAACTTACAGAAAAGACCACAGTTGTCAGGAGTTGGTTCTTGACTTCAGCGCATCATGGTATGGGGGTTTAGGCCATAAATTCTCTCCATTCAGTGTTAAAATTCACAGTAAAGCTTTGTCCAGAAGCACGGATTGCTTCACAGTTGCTTACCTAATTTTAATTGTTGATGATACGTCTTGGTCTTAATACAGTTTATTGTGATTTCAAATGACATTTAAAACATTTTAGAGCAATACAAGTAAAAATATCCTAAAATCTATTTAAACTTCAGAAAATAAAAAATTAGCCATATATTCACTTTTTTTTCCTTCTGCTCTCTTCCAAAACCATAAAAAGACAATATAGATGCCTCCCAGATAATAAAGAGAGAAATCTTTTTTTTCAGTGATTTAAAAACTGGTGGAAGATTAGATGATACCTCATGGCAGCCAATGCTGGGATCCCTCAGTCTGATCACAGTAGTTCTAACTTAAACCTTCCCTCATGTGAATTCCTGATACAAATATTTGTAATACATTTTATATTCTGAGTATAAAAATTTTCTTGATTAAACATGCCAGTTAGTTGTTTACTTTTCTTCCAAACCATAACGTTGTCGGTTCATATTCAGTTCAACTCTTGTCCTCCGTTTGTTGTGAGACATGTAGCCTGGCTTTTGTGAAGATGAATGGAAAGGCTGAAACCTGTTACTTGTGAAACTTTTACTCTTGAGAACGGTTAGAATTTAACCAGAATTAGATTCCCATGTTCTGTATTTTAAATGCTCACACATCTAGGAGAATTTATCTTTCTCTATATGCTTAAGTTACATGTGGGAGTCAAACAAGTGACTAGAATGGTAACCCTTATCTGCAGTTATCAGCAGGTCTAAAGCTATCAAGCTATCTCGTTTGTAGTACTACAAGAATTGCAGCAGGATATGAACATTTTGTGGTGTTTGTCTTAATTATGTACTTAAATTCTAAATGAGCTTTTAATCCCAAACTGCTTTCAGAGCTGTGAATTCTTTAGTAGAGAAATGATAAAATAAGTTTTAAATCACTGACACTGGACTGACGTTTGTTTCAAGAAACTTGTTTATAAATCTGATTGTTTTATATAAAGCAAATCTGAATTAAACTGAAGAACAACTGTTAGGTTTCTGAAACAACAAACCACTTTGTAAATGCCCTAATATCTAGCATATTATTTACCTTTACTGTTTTGAAGGCTAATTCTACAATTATTTTATGCAGGTTCCGACTGGAACATCTCGTCAAAGTTACCCAGCTACCAGCTATCAGGACTTTAGCAACTGGGAGTCTCTAATGAAAATTAAAGAGGGGCTGCTAAGACAGAAAGAGATTGTGATTGATCGGTGAGTAACTTGCTCCTGCTGCATTGATTAGATTAGGTGATGTAAAAGCTATGATGTAGAAACTGACTTTCAGGAGAGCTGCTTACTCAGTAAAGTTGTTAGGTTCCAGTCCAGCAAATATTTATGCACAAATACATGGGAGCTAATCCTTGCTAGGAGAGAAGACTGGCTGCTGGCTAAAAGTCTTTCACAGAGATGGAAATTTACTTAGGGGTTTAATGCCTCTGCAATGGAAAAGGGAGAGTGAGACTAACAGCCAGTTCTGCTGTCAGCTTCCCCAGCTTAGTTTATTACCAGTCTGGGGGTTTGCATCAGACATCTTTCCGCTTGTACAGGTCTTGGAAGTGACGTGCAAGATGAAAATTGGTAAACTTCATTGCCCTGATTTTCTTTTCCATGACAAGTACAGAAATACAATATATTTGAAGACAGTTGATAAAGCTGTGAGAAACTGGCCTTTGCAGTAACATTCAGTGGTAAAATCCTATTCAAATGCTCATACAAATTATTCAGATAATAAAATATTAAATCCAGGATCCATATGTCAGTAAATGCATCGCTTCGTATTAAAATTGCTATCAATCTGAAATGGGCCTTGGCAGCAACTCACTGCTGTTAAGTTTCTAGTATATCTGAAGTCATTTCTGGAGTTCCTGTTGTTTGGATAAAATGGAGCCTTAATGAGGAAAATGTGCTTTTAATAAAGGGCTTGAGCTTAATGAAGCTTACACTAAATTAGCAGATGTCATCAGGAGCTGCAGAGTTTGGATGTAGGACATTTAAGAAGGGCATTTTTATATTTGACATAATTATCATTTGGCTTAGTCTGTGTTTTAATAATAAACTCTTGGCTCGTGGCTGAAAGAGGAGTGGTTGTTCTGATCTTGAAATAGTTGTGCCCTCTTATTGATACTTTGCTCCACAGCATGAGAACTGTGTAAAGCAGGTGTGCGTTGATCACAGGAATGTCAGGCATCCATTACAAATGTTTTTGTATTTCATCTAGCAGTTCCTGCCTTTTAATGGGTGGAGATAGACAACTTGGGGATAATTTACTTTGGGACCAGGACAGTTATGCTTGTGCAAGATCTGTTCCTTCCTCTGTTGCAACAGAGCAAGGAATTGCAGTGGTTTAAGGTCTTTCTGTCCACCAGCAATCTGGCCTGTACCTCTGCTGGCATTGTAGCGATGAAAGTCGGCATCAGCTTCCCTAGTTTGATGTGGCATATTAGTGTGCATTTACCTGCCTCTGCAGCTGAAGATGGTACGCAAAGTTACGAACTGCAGCAGCTGAGGCACAGGCTCACCATCCCACTTGGCCAGCTCTCCTGCAGATGTGGTGATCTCCCAAGGGAATAAGCAGTTGAAATGGAAACATCCTTAACCATTGCTTCCATCTCCTCTGTCAGAGCCTTTTGATCAGCTGCTTAAAGGCTGTCTAAATTACAGTGTTTTTTTCAGGCTTGCTATATCAGTAGTAATGCTGTATAACCTGCAGTCCACCTCTCAGGGCCCAAGCTGTCGGCAGCATTTGTAAGTGCGTTGCCCACGATGGCTAGGGGCGGCCTTTGGTGCCTCTGCTCAGCATATCATCTCTGCACTCTACATGAAGGCTTGTGGCAACTAAAAAGGCAGTTCATGTTATTCTTCTCGCACTGGAAATGTGTTTGCGGTCAAGGGTGAAGTTTCTGAAGTGACAGTTTATAACCTAGTTGCCTGCTAATGTTACTTGATACTGTCCACGTTGAGGAAGAAAAGCTATTTCTTGATATCCAATGGCAGTGTGCTAGTTCTTTTTTGTACAAGTCATACTTCAGTGTGAGTTAACAATAGTGAATATAGTTCTTTCTGGATTTCTGATCGAAGTTGGTTGAGATGATTCCTTTTCATTCAGCTGAAAAGGCAAAATACGCTCTGGAAGCTATTGAGGTGAAACAAAGACCACTTTGTGAAGTTACAGTCATTTCCTTTAAGTAGACACTTGGTGTTACAGTTAAGCATGTTGTAAATTGTAATAATGCAGTATAATAATACATCTCAGAAAAGGCTCTTTTTTGAACATTGAGCCTCCACTTTGGCAAAATATTTGCCTTAAAAGTTATTATTTTAAAATAAAATAAAATTATTTTAAAGTAGATAGTTTGTATGATTTAAAATTAGTACAAAGTGATGTTGCATATTTAGAAAGATTTTACAAGAGGTTTTTTGTTTTTTGTTTTTTTTTTGTTTGTTTGTTTGGTTTTTTTTGTTTTTTTAAGAAGAGGTGTTTTCTATAACAAATAAAAATATTTTTGGTTTCACTCACGGAGAAAATGGTGCATAGTTGCTGTCCAAAATCTTAGAAATAGAACTCCATTATAAAGCACTAGTGTTGTATTTCTTACTAGATGGGGTATTAATAAGACTTAAGTGTGAATAATAATACCTTTCTTCAAGGCACTAAGTGGCACTAAGTGAAAATTTGATATTATCCATATTTAACACATGGGGACACAAGGCCTTACAATGAGAGTCAAGATAATGTTTGGGAGTAAACCCAAGTCTTCCAGCTCCTGGTCTTTCTGAGCTTACTTTAAATTTCTTTTCAGAATTTTAATTTATTTGGGAATAGTGACCTAAAATAAAAATATGAAGTTTGCTAAAGTGTCATTAATTAGGATTCAAGATGGTGGTAGTTAAATTACAGAATTTATGCTTTCAGGAAGTGGAGGAGGACTTCTTTTGTTGACTAAGGTCTGATAGTAGGTGTTTGCTCAGAAGGCCCTTCCTACCTGTGGTTCTCATGGAGTTTTAAAAGGTGTAGTCTCCTTAAGTCATGTCTCATGCCAAATTTACCAACTGGTAACTGGAGGATGCCAGCAAGACTTGCTTGCTTCTGGGGGGACAAAAGCTTGGGAGGGACAGGTTAACCTCCTGCTGTCTGGAAGCCGGAGGAGCGGGATAGCAGCCGGTGCAGTGCTCCAGACCCAGCTGTTTGCTGCTGATAGGTACAAGGAACAGCTGGTTGAAAAGAAGCACACCAGGAAGACCCTTCTCTTGCCCTTGTCACCAGCATCCCTTTCAACCACAGGGCTACTACCCAGTTTTTTTTAAGGTTAAAAGCTCTTCTGTTGGGAATTGCACTGAGGCCCCGGCAATCCAGGAGGTAGAGGAGATTAACATCACTTTGCACCACACACCTTGTTCTGCATAGCGATCCTTAAATCTGGTGATAAGTAGGAAATGGAGGCTCTGCACGGGGCAGTATCCTTAAGCTGATCTGCCTTTATCTTGTTAAAAAAGGCAGGAGGGGCAGGAGGAGGAAAGAGAAACCTGCTGCCTGCTTCCCTTCTTTCCACACAATGATAAAAAGGCAACAAAAATCCAGCCCTTCCAGATCAGATTATTAAAACTCCTTGTTTTGCATCGGCAATCTAACAGTTTGGAATAGCTGCAAGCAAGTTTCAAATAGTCGTTAAAAATTATTCAAGGAATAATGCTTACAATGTAAATCATCATACTTGGATACTTTGGTGTATCACTGGAAATTCAAAGCTGTGAATACACTTTTTAAAAACCCAAACAGCCACTTGTGTCTGTGACTAGAACAAGTGGCTTGATTTTTATTTTATACACTGTGTTGAACAGCAGGTTTAGTAATAGACTAGTTAAAATTGAGTTATTTGTGTAGTCTTTTCAGCATAACAAATGCATATTTTTAAGTATAAATGAACAGAGTAGCATAAATGGGTGGGTTTAAAAGTGATTTTGGTTTCTTTTCTAAAACTACTCTAAGAATCACTGCCAATTTAATGAATTAGAGCCTGAAATTGGCTTTTAAGTCTGCTTTTAAAAAATGGGATAGAGACTGTACTTTTAGGAAGCAGAAACGTGGCGTGAGGAAGGGAGCCTGGGGGGGGTGTGTGTGTGTGCACGGGATCACAGTGGCAGCTCTTAAAGGTGTGTGTCATGTTTTCTCTGCATAAGAGCTGTTGGTACAGGCTGTGAATAAGGACTTAAGGATTTTGTCTGTAAGAGGAAATCTGCTGCTCTAATGCTTATTACTAGAATGTCTGTCACCTACTGTACAAAATAATTGGATTATATCATTGCCTTACTTCTCTGGTGGTTTAGTATGTAACACTATGTTATATTTAGCACCAGAGGGAGCCAACAGTGTTTATATTGGTTTAGAAAATTACAGCATCACATTTTAATTCTTTGTGTTGCTCCTCTGTTCAGTACATTCACAACACTGAACTTACAGTGTTTGGTACAATTATGAATGTCTCTTGAGACTGGCCAGCCACTGTAGATGTCTCTAAGTGTGGTCCTGGCACTGTTTGTTTGGCAGGGACTGCATGTAAGGGGTAGGTGAATAAATGCCAAATATCTGAACATACGACATAAGCTGCTGAAAATAACACGGTGCATGCAACGTTCTCTTCCAGACAGCTTAAGGGCATTTGAACAGCTTTTTAAGGAAAGGTAGATATAGAAGTACAATTTTAGTGAATAGCTGTCATTCCTCAGGGCATAATAACATTTACATTCTTAAAACAGTTGCTAAATCATTAGCTTTCCATCCATAGCTGAGTTATGCTTAGATGTTTTCACTGGGACAGTAGAATTAGATTTTCTTTCCCTTGTGTCAAATTGTCCTGACTTTCAGTAGCTGACATCAAACTGTATGTGCTATGATAGTGCTTGTGTTACTGCTAGTGTAAAGCTGTAATTCTCTTAATTTGGGATGGTCTGTTAAGGTCTGCAGCATTAGCATATCCACATGAGTGATAATTTGATGTCAGTTTTGAGGAAGCTCTGAAGCTTTATGCCACCCGGGGTCTGAGCACATGCATGTATAACTGGGAGTCCTGTGCAGGAGTAGGGCTATGAGGAACCTCCTCAGAGTGTCTTGCTGTGTAAAATATTCTTTGCTTGCAATAATGGCTTGAAAAAGGTGCATTTATCTTTTTCTGGTATCACCAATCATCCAGGTAACTTGTGGTGAGGCTTTTGTA